GAGGACGGAGCATTGTTCCCACAGGATCGACCACCGATGGCCAATGGGCGTGGGGAGGGGATAAGATTGATTTGGAGAGGATATTGCATGTTGAAGGTGCGTGAAAACGCCTGAGCAGGCTGGGGTTCGCTGTGGAGCACGTTTCGACGGCTTGGACGCTACCTAGCCCCCCCGGTGGCCGGGGTACGGTCGATAGTGCGGGGGGGCGGGGGAAGCGACTATCAACAACAGGGTAAACCTGCCCCGAGTACTACATATTCGCGAGACCTCAAGCCGGCGAGGCGGTGAAAGCAAAGGGCGGCAAAACTACTCTACGACGCGTAGCCATGCCACTACCACTTCTCTCCGTGTCATCAGACGTATCGTCGTCAGCGCTGGGCAAGAGCTTGAGGCATGCAGCTCGTGAAAAAAGTGCGGGGGGAACGCTGCACACCGCAACCACCGAGCAGACGAGACTTAGACTAGGTGGCGGTCTTGTACTAGCATCGCCAAGGAGCATGTCGCTGACTCACCTTGCCGCGGTTGCCAGACGAGTCAGGGCTGGGCGTGTCCACCTCCATCGCGGTGGAGCCGCCGCCGCTGCTGCCACCGCCGGGTGCCCCGGAAGTACCACCAGCAGACGCCACCTTCAAGGGTAAAAACACCACGCACAAGCGAACAACAATGTCCGGCGTGTGGCGATGGATGTCATCGAATGAGAGTGCAAACCACGCACAACTGAACAACAGCGTCGGATATGTGCCATGGACATGAGTACAAACCACGTACAAGCGAATCTGGCGTGTAACAGATGGATGCCATCGAATGAGAGCAAAACACCAAGCTCAAGCGAGCAATGTCGGGCGTGCGACGGATGGTTTGTCATCAAATAAGTCGTGCTCCAGTTCCGGTGAGAGCGAGGGGCAGCCAAGGAGGGCGGCGGCGGCGCGCCGAACAAGTTAACCGCATCGAGTGCACCCACGACTGCTGTGGCATGGGCAAGCGCGGCCGACGAGCACTCCACTCCACCTACTGCAAGGAGGTATGCGTCCCGAAAGACACGCGCGGTGAGAGGCATGAAACCGATTCCCGAAACTCGATTGCTCGACGTGTTTGGGGTTCTCAAAACGGGCTCACAAATGGTTCTGAAGCTCTCAGACTTGGATATAATTTTTTTCGGGGCTACATCAACTTTTTCACTCTGCCAACTTCAGAAGTGCGTGCGATATCTCCACGTGTTGAGTGTGCAACCATCCACTCGAGTTCCTTCTTTGTGCTCGAACTCGCTCCCCCCCCCGAAATTCCCCGAGTACGAAGGATGCCGGTGTCCCCAAGTGGCATTACATAGCACGGTGATGCGCGGCACCGTCTCGTCGGAAATGATTTTCCGGAAAACAGCGATCGGTTGAATTTGGCGCCCTCTTCCTCGTGAAAGCGTTTTTTTTTCCGGCGTACAAGCTTGGGTACATGTTGGATCCTACCCAAAACCCGTCCCCGTGACGGGGGATCAACGCGTGTTGATTTGACAACACGACGAGACGTCCGCGTGTCACTGTATTGTCAAATCAACACACGATGATCGTCCCTCACAGGAACAGGCGTTTCTGTAGGATCCAGCATGTACCGCAAGCCTGGGCCGTCCAAACAAGCACTTTAGCGAAGAGGGCGCCAAACTCAAACGAAACTTGTGTCGGGAAAAGCGCGCGACGAGACGGTTCCAACGCCACCGGCACGGCCGTATGCACTGCGGAGTGATGAGGCTATGCTAATCGGTGGTTCAGGAGTGGCACCTTTTGCAACCAACGGTATACAAACCGCCATACGTATCTTGCGCCACTCAAGAGGTTGTCTATCCACTTCTCACCTGACCACCGGCGGTGCCGTTGGCCACGCTGCCGTTGGCAGCCGTCGCCGGAGAGGCCACAGGAGCTGCCGCCGCCGCTCCCACTGGCGCCACTGGCGCCACCGCCGCCGCTGAACTCCCCACCGCCGCCGCCGCGGGCGCCGCTTGGGTCCCAGCAGCAGCAGCAGCAGCAGCAGCAGCAGCAGCAGCAGCAGCAGCAGCAGCAGCAGCGTCAGTGCCCGCTGTCGCACTGCTGGCACCGCTCCGCGCGGCGGTGGGCGGCGTCGCCACCGCCGCCGCCGCCGCCGCCGCCGCCGCCGCCGCCCCCGGCTGGGCGATGCCGTAGCGGGTAGTGAGGAGCGCATACAGGGCCGACTGGGCGTCCTCGGAGGTGACGATGGAGACCTCTCGCGGGTGGTCTTTGATCACGAAGAGCAAGGCCTGTTGCAAATGGGGAAGGGGGGGGGTTAGTGAAGGCGTGCGCGGTGCGCAAACCCCTCTGGTGCACCCCGACTCTCTCGTCTTCCAAGAGTCTACCAATAATTTATCGTTCTAACCGCATGGACGCTACAGTCTGGAACATATGGGCACGATGACAAAGAAGCGTCTTCCGCCCTCTCACAAGCCCCGCTTCATTCTGGAAGAGGCGTGCGTGAAACTCGCTGCGAACACCGCTCCGCTGCACCCCCCGACTCTCTCGTACTCCTTCAGTCTACCTAAGAAAGGTCGCTCTAGTGCCGCAGAGAAGCCACTCTACCCTAAGCGTAACTAGGCACTTTTCCTGGTGCCTTCCTCGACACACGAGCATTTGAAAACTGCTGGAGATGAGGAAGTCACAACGCGTCTCATCTATGTCCACCGGGGGGGGCATGTTTAGGACAGGCATCCAGCCTTTGCCAGCCGACTAAACCGGCACGACACCAGGCACTCAATCGGAACTTTTCAGACCGCACTAAAAACTAAAGTCAAGCACCGCAGGGGGAAAGGTGGGGTACAAATAAATCACACACACAAAAAAAAAGGCTTCTGCGTGACATTTGCCTTGTGAGACCTCGGCTGATACGTCAGATGTACACGCCGAAAGGCCGGCATACTGGCGCCAGAATAGATAGATGGGACGAACACAATACACATTTCTCATCGGTGAGTCGGTTATCACGGTCGATGTAATAACAAAGCACACACTAAATTCGCCACCCCTCGTGTTTGCCATCGGGGTTTGGGTTTTCGTCGCTTGGCAACGACGTTGTAAAATAAGCCGCCGCCCCCGGTGTTTGTCATCGGGGTTGGGTTTTCATCGCTTGGCAGCGATTTTGTAAAACAAGCCGATCACTCGTGAGCTCGGCAACCAGGTTACCGCTTTTTGGTACGTCTGTTTTTTCTTGGGTGGTTTCCAGAATGGTGGTCGAGTTGATTTTGTTGTGCGGGATCGTGAACCCTCACTCCGCGCAAAGGAGATAATCGCATCAAGTTGTGTTAAATTGGTCAAGCACCTTCGAGGCAGTTACGCAGTGCCTACAACTGTCTCTGGAAGTGAAAGCACCAGAAAATATATTAAGTCATGCGCAGCTGCCATCCGTGCGCAAGGAGGTAAGCACAAGATGCCGAACACCCTTAGCAGGATGCAGTTCACCCTTCATGCGACTCGCCGCATACCTCACGGCGCTTCGCGCTTGGTGATGTGAGAGCCTGGTCCGGTCACACCCGGCTTGCTCCGTCCCGGCTTTCTAGGGATGCGAGGTCAATGGTCTAACGACTACGGCATGCACGACTATGAGTACACCCCCCCCCAACTACTGTACCTGCATGAGCTTGAACTCGAAGACGCGAGCAGTCTGCCAGTTCATCACGGCGCACGCCTTCCGGATGCCTCGACAAGCGCTGATCTTGCGCCTCCACTGCTTCTCGAAGCAGCCCTGGCAAAGGCTCTCGAACAGGCTGTGCACCAGCACCCTCCCCTGCCAAGAAGGCCTCCCCGGGGGCGAAGAAGAAGCGTCCCCTCCCTCGACCGCCGGCGAATCTTTCACGCCCGAGTGCTCCACGATGAACCTGTTGAAGTTTTTTTTCGTAAGTTTTTCGCAGAACAATCAGGGTGTCGGCCGACGCGCGTTGGATGAGGTAACAAACGGACAAGAGGTGAGAATGGCGTCTCGCGACGAACTGCCGTCCCGTTCATATGCACACGGCTTGACTTATCAGGCCGATCGACTCCTTTGTCCGCGAAGAAAATAAGAGAGACCAGGTGCAGTTCATATGCATACGGATAGACGTCGTGAGGCCCATCAGTTCTTTGTCTCCGCGATACGGCTTGACATAGTCAGGCCCATCGATTCTTGTAATCGCGAAAAGAATAATCCCTTTCTCGACCCCACCCCCCCCCCCCCCCCCC